TGAGTGTCCCTTCCCTGGATTTGGAGGCCCTTTCCACTGTCCTCACACACATTCCCCTCAGTGTCCCTTTCCTGGATTTGGAGCCCTTCTCCACTGTCCCCGCCACATTCCCCATCAGTGTCCCTTCTTTGAATTTGGAGCCCCTTTCCACTGTCCTCACACACATTCCTCTCAGTGTCCCTTCCATGGATTTGGAGCCCTTTTTCTCTGTCCCCACACACGTTCCCTGTCAGTGTCCCCTCTCTGGATTTGGAGCCCCTTTCCACTGTCCCCACACACGTTCCCCATCAGTGTCCCTTCCCCAGATTTGGAGTACCTTTCCACTGCCCTACACATGTTCCCTGTCAGTGTTTTTTCCTGGATTTGGAGAGCTTTCCAGTGTCCTTCTGTTTCTGTTTTCACACTCATCCGCATGAGGGGCCTTGGCTCCTACTGCTGCCATGTAAGGTCAGCATCCTTATGTTTCCCACATGGCTGCAGGCTCTTGCTGCCTCTTTGGCTGCCAGTGTCACCTTTTACACCTTCACCCTCTGTCCTCCACTGTCTTTGACAGACAGTAGCTACCCCAATCTCATTCTGCTGGATGCTCTTCTTCTGTGTCCCTTTTGTTCTTAGATCATAGCACAGTGATCATCTTATCATCGTATCACATTGTTAACCATTCTTTGTTAAAGATTCAAGTATTTGTCAATAGAGTATTTTTTTTTAAACTAACATAGGTCTTTTGTTAACAATTATAGCTCCAAAGTCTACTACTTTCTGCAGTTGGTACTTTATAAGCACTTAGTAGTGGTTCACTGTATGAATGAATGAGTGAATGGTGTATGTGAAAGAAGCAGCTAGGGAGGTCCAAGTAAAGATGCCTAGGTCCTAGGAAAGGGCACATGCTTCATGTTTCTAACAGACGGTTACTTAGGTAGTTGGCTTAGCCATTCACACGACCAGTGTTAATGTCTGAATTTATTCATTTTTTATCATCTGTCTTTAATGCAAACCTTTCAGTAAAAACATATGAAATATAATCCAACCTTATGCTTGAATTATAGATGCATCTCCACAATAGCAGCCACTAGAAATTGACCCCATCAGTGACAGTAGCTGTGTGTCACATACTGTTTGAAGTGACAGCCACTCTCTTAGCTCTCCTTTAACTGGAAGGACTCCAGGACATTTCATCTTTTTTTTTCTTTTGCATATGGAATGAAATGACTTGGGTGCCTTCTTTTCATTCCCTTAGATTGTAGAGTATTATCAGATCAACTGTAGATTACTACAGGGCATGTTGAAATAATATTGTCATCGTCATTTATTTGACAGAACGACGTCCTGTTGTCTGTCACTAATTGCACTGAAATGATAATCTTTTTTGGTGGTCTGACATGCTTTATTATAGTTACGTGGAAGGCCTTGTTACTACTGCAAATTAAAGAACAACTCTAAGGTATGTGAATTACTTTGTTTTTAAAAACTCAATCATTCTCATTCATGCTTATTCTGATCTGCATATAGGAGGTAAAAATAGAATTATAGCTCCTGGTGATGAGAAACTTGTGGCTTACAACACCACACACCTTTCCCTCCCTCCTACCTGTCTAGGCATCGTGTGTAGTTATAATGTGCTTTGTCAGTGCACCCTGCCTTCCAGCCTCAACATGGGACTTCACATCACTATGAGATGTCAGATTAGACTCAGGAGCTGGGACTAGCTTTCCTTGTGTGATCCTTCCTTGCTGCTCACTCTACATGAAATACCTGTTTACATATCTATGCCTTAAGGTTTGTCCTCCTGTGGGCATTTCTCAGCTTATATTTTGGGTGCTGTGTCTCCCTCTCCCTGCTGTTCTTTGTGGTACCCAGTGAATACACTCTGTAACAATGATGGAAACAGTTAACACTTAGTGAGTGGTTACAAGTTAGCAGGCACTGCACCAGCAAGTGCCATTTCATTGAATTCTTATAATGACACCAAGAGTTAGAGACCCTGACTGTTCTCATTTTATAGCTGAAAAAACTAGGGCAAAGCCAAGTAATTCCTACATGACAGAGACAAGGCCTCCCACCTTCTGAGCCCAGGTTCTTACTTCCTGAGCTGTGATTTCCCTAACCAAGGTTGGGTAAAACCACAGTGACTCATCGTGGCCCTGCTGCCCTTTGCCTGTGTGATACTAGACTGGAGTGAGGATCTCTCCCCTTGTGTTTTCCCATATTCCAGGCAGCTTAGCACAACCTTTCTGATCTCTCAGAAATTTATAGTTTTATATCTATTTAAACAGTCTTCTGGTAGACTTCATAAATATGGCTTAGGTTTTTATTAAACTCTTTTGCTCTTTCTATAATTCAGGCTGTCTTATACATTTGCAGATTGCACTATTTTATCCATCCTCAAGCCATCTGTGGCATCAACATAGTCTATTTCATTTGGTAGCATCTTCCATTTATGCAGGAGTGAGTTATTAAAGTAAAACTTTATATTTATATAGCATTTACATAAATGTTAGAGTAAAACATTTATTTATTTTCTCACAACAATCAGTGCAAAGAAATTTGTTTTTATTTCTTTCACCTCCTCATAACTTACTTTACGTGTAGTCTTTGGAGTTGAATTGAGTAACTGTTTGCTGAGGTCATGGTGCAGTCCTGGAAAGCAGGATGAGAAGTTGGGCCCTGTTCTCATGGAGTTTATAGTCTAGAGTCAGGACAGGGAAGCAGTGCATGCCATTTGAAGAAATTGTTTCCCATTGTGAAAAAAGACAAGATGGGCATGTGGAGAGGGAGGACAGAAGGATTAGAGCTGCTCTGGTGAGTCCAAAGTAGGGGAAGAGTGGATACAAGTTTGCCAGACATAGTGCAGCTGGTGGGCAGGAGGAAAGGAAGAGTCTCCCAGGCAAGTGGGCGGCAGATGTGGATGCCCAATGTCAGAGGACATGTTGTGACAGAGACATGGGAAGACTTTCTGTCTGGTACTTAGAGTGGAAGGAGGATGACCTGGGGGGCTTGCAGGGCAGGCAGGCTGCTGTTGGCTGTAGGTCAGGTATGGATTCTGGATTTGGACCCAAAATTGATGAACTTGAAGCAAAGGTACGATGTAGATAGACTCAGGTCTTAGGAGGGCTAATTGGGCTACAGCGTGGGGAAGGAGCCAGAGGAGAGACTAGGAGTGGCAGTGGGGAGGTGGCTGGAGGCTGTTCCAAAAGTCTCTATGAGACTTAGACCAGGGCAGTGGAGGCAGGGCTGGTGAGGAGAGGGTGGGTTGCAGAGGCCCCCTGCAGGTGTGGAAGAACTCAGCTGCACATCTGAAAGCTCCAGGGGTTCTACTGCGTTGTGCTAACGAATGCTCTTCCTACACTGGAGGACATGAGTAAGAGGGAAACAAGCAGAGGTGAGGCCTGAAGGTTAGTGTGGGGGCTTCCATAGAGAGGTGCTGTGGCCTTAGAGGGAGGTAGAATGCTAAAGTCAAGGCACTCTGCAGCTGTACTGGGCTCTGTCCACATCTTCTGGGGGCTCTGTAGTGAGCTGGCAAGGGGTTATATGATGGTAAAGACAAAGCACTCAGTGGCTGTTCCAGGCTCTGTTCACATTGTCCAGTGGCTGTGTGTGGAGGGCTTGCTCTGTGTCTCAGTGTTGATGCCAACAGGATTTTGGGAAACAGATGTGTTTATTCAGTGACTGATGCCTCCTTTCCCCCCAAAACATCAATTCATTCTTTTATCCACTTATTAATTTAAAGAAATGCACTGACGGTCTCCTATTCACCAATATGCTCTCCTGGTCTTTGTTTTCAATACCGCATGTTGCTGTTACACCTGGTTTACATCAGTACTTTTGATGTTCATAGGTACTTCCTGGACAACATCTCTTTTAGGATACATTTTGTCTGTCAGTTTTCCATTTACAGTTCACTTAAGGTGTAACTGTTGACAAGATCCTGCAGCCCTGGTCTTCTGTATCTTCTGATGTCCTATCCTTTGCCCTTTTTTTTTTTTTTTTTTTTTTTTTGGACACAGGGTCTCTCTCTGTCCTCCAAGCTGCAGGGAAGGGGCATGATCATAGCTCACTGCTGCCTTGAACTCTTGTGCTCAAGTGATCCTTCTGCCTTGATCTCCCAGAGTGCTGGGACTACAGGTGGGAGCCACCACTCCCGACTGATTCTTTTATTTTTTATAGAGACAGTGCCTTGATATGTTGCCCAGGCTGGTCTCAATTCCTCAAATGATCCTCCTGTTTTAGCCTCTTAAAGTGCTGGGAATACAGGCAGAAGCCACCATGCCCAACTAGTATATCGAATTCCATTTTATCAAAACCATGAATCAGTCTACCACCACCACCAAATCATCTTGTTGCTCATTGTAGACCTGTTATATTGGCCAAGGTAATGCAGGTTATTATAGCAAATAAGTTCTCGATCTCAGTGATTTTAAATACATAGAAGTATACTTGGTAAACTAAGTTCAGTTGGTAGCAGATGCGTGGTGTGGAATTTTTTGCCCCCCTCATGGACTTAGGCTGATGGAGTCAATGTAAGGCTGAGGAGATTGCTCAGAGTTGATGCTGACATGGAAGGAGGGTGATGGTGTGAGAGGGTGAGTGCTAGAGCTCACAGGAAGCTTTCAGAGCCACAGCTAGAAGTGGCTTCTGTTGTCTCCACCCACACTCAGTATTCAGGTCCAGGGCACACCTGGCATGGTAGCCTAGGAGCTTGGGAAAGGCAGCCGTGTGTGTGCCCAGCCGGGGAGCCTGGGAAAGGCAGCTGTGTCTGTGCCTGGCCAAGAAGTCTGGGAAAGGTGGCCGTGTGTGTGCCTGGTGAACCCATCTGTTGTGCCCAGCATTGAATTCCTTGTCTGGGCCCTGCTCTCTGCTTCAGATGATAATTAGAGACCAGGCAGGGACAGAGACAAAAGTTTTTCTGTGTGCTGGCTGTGTTGTGGCTAGGTGCTGACATGGGAGAGGTCTGCATTGGGAATTCCTAGCACACCTGCTCATTGTTGTGACTCTTCTCATAGGGAAATCAATGCCCGGCTTGATGCGGTGTCTGAAGTTCTCCATTCTGAATCAAGTGTCTTCAGCCAGATAGAAAATCATATGTATAAGCTGCCCGACCTAGAGAGAGGACTCTGCAGCATTTATCACAAAAAAGTAAGTGTGGTAAAAGTCGAGTGTATTGGAGCTGGTGATGTTACAGCATGTGAATACTATACACTGAAGGAAAACACCTGAGACCTCTGTTATTCTTGGTTTATATTGTAAAATCTTGCAGATGGCATGGGAGAGTATGGATCCTCCGAAGTTTTAATTGTACACATTAAGGTTATTCTCATTTTCCCATTGTGAAAAGCAGTTTCCTTACTTCTGTTAACTACAGCAACATATGTGGGTGCCCTTCTGTTATAATAAGGATAATCTCCTGTTTCCTTCTCAAAGTGAAGACAGCTCTCAAAGTAGGAAATTAATTAGACTTGCTATTTTAGAAAAGGGCTGCCTTATTTCTTTTAGTCTTAGAACAACTTCTTATTTAACTTAAACAAAGGAAAAATCTGCTGGTGTAACATTTGTGGTGGGATTAGTATGTAAACAAGCTTGGATATTGAAAGTAAGTAAAAAGTGATTTCTCTCACTAAGTTTTATAGTTTGAATCATGAAAAATGAGGCATTTTTCACATTCTGGTTTACAATTTACTTTGTCTTCAAAATATGCCTAAAATTTACCAAAAAGATCAATTAGTTATATTTATAATAATTGTTTAAAATTCTCTTTATGGAATTCTTCTTGTGACATTATGCCCTTTGTTCCATGTCAATACTTGTGAGCTTGAGAAAATACCATTTTAGTTACCTTCTCCCTAATGAGAATTCCATCAAGCGTGTTCTCTCCCTCTCCCTCTCCCTCCCTCCTCCCCCTCTATCCCCCTCTATCCCCCTCTCTCCCTCTCCCCCCTCCCCCTCTCCCCCTCCTCCCCTCTCCCCCCCATTACCTTGGCTGATATGACAGTGCTAAGAGATAATAACTTGCTCTTGATAGCATCTGCATTTGGAACCAGGGTTCTTACTCTGTTTTCAGTGGCTGTGTCTATTGGACACAACCATATTTGATGTAGTTGTCTTGACCCCCTTTGTGTTTTTTTCCTGGTTGTAACTTTTCCTAAGCAAATTGTTTTCCCCCCAATTGTAATTCCTTGCCAATTTAATACATTTGCTGTGGAACAGTTTTTATATGTTGACATTTTAGTTGTGACCAAGTTTTCATTAGTGTTTATTTTTTTAGGCCCTTCCCCCAGACAGAGTTTTACTAGAATAATAAGTATGGCCTCTGGGAATACTTGCGGTGCTCAAGAGGACTTGTGTAACTATTCTGTATGCTTCAGCTAAATTTGGAAACAGCGCAAGCCAACATTGAGAATGCTAGTCCTGGGGAAAGATGCGTGATTACGGGTTTGGTGGCGTCTGCTGCACCATGACTGGGGACGCTGTGTTGTTTTGTTGCAGTAACAGAAGCTGTGCTGGTAGCTGAAAGTTTTTTGATGACTTTTGAGGTTGCAGAGTGGGTGCCAGGCCATTTGTTGCTCTGTGTCCTTGGTGCAGTGCCTGACAGTGGGGGCTTATTACCCTTCATCACACAACATATCTCCAGCACCTTGTCTTTACTGTCTGAAGGAATTTACTGACAGATGTCAGAGACTGTTATTTTTTTTCAGAGAAAATAGGAGAAAGCTGAGAATTTTTCAGTAGCTACGTAAAAGTGCCCAGTCCCAGTGTTCATGGCATCAGGATGGCAGTGGCTGTGTACCATGTTGCTGTGATTTCTGTTGTGCCTTACTGCCTCCCTGTAAACTTTTCTTTGATGTTTGTATTTCACAAGCTTTGTGTATTTATAGAAGTTTCACAACTCCAGTAAAGCCAGAATCGAATTCATTTTTAAAGTGACCAAAATGCAGTATAAGAATGATTTTTATTTTGGAATTAAAATATATTTTACTAAAGGATCTTATGACTCACTCAGAACTGTTCCTTGATGCTGTTTTAATGTTCACACAAGAATGTGTCCAAAGATTGGTTTGAATTGCGAAGAGTAGAAGAAGTGATTTGGTGACAGACCAACTTTACTTTTGCAGAGTAGTGAGCTGGCTCTTGGAACACACTATCAAACACATGCTGTTCTTTATCATTAGGTTGCTCTAAATAAACCTCTCTTGTGTGCACCACGTGGTGAGTGGGTCCTGGCATAGAAGGAGCCATGGATGTGGAATTCACAGATGGGGAGGCCACTCTGTGGGGTGCTGTGGCCACATGGCAGTGGAGAGCGGCCCGGAACATGCACAGACAGCATCTTCTTGTTGATGATAGTGGATCCCAAGGGGACTGACCCCAGAATAAAGCAAGCATTTCTTTTGGTAGTGAAACTTCAAATTAAAGTCTTGTGAATAGTGCTGGCTGCAGGAGCCCATGCTGACTTTGCTCAAGAATTGTTTTATGAGGAAGATAAATAACTGCTCAGGTTGGCGAAGACACTTAAAGGAGAATTGCACTTAGTAAGTGTTGGGAGAGTGTTTTCAGAATGTTCTGGGCAAGAGTGCTTCTTAGCCAGGCTGAAATAGCCCAAGGACACATTTTCAACTTGGCCCTTAGACTAGGTCCTCTATGTGGAGGCCTGCCTCTGCCTGGCAGGTCTGTCTCATACTCCACTGTGACAGCTGCTGCCATGTGTGGTTTCGGGAGCAGTCACTTTACCAACCTCACCTCCCTTCCATGCAGCTTCTTTGAGTCCTGTTGCTTAAGAAACTCGGTAACAATCTGCACAGGCTCTTAGCTCAAACTGCAAAACATGTCTGGTTTCCCCTGCGCTTCTGTTGCCAACTTGACTTTATATCACATCTGAACTTGGAAAATTAATCCCTTTCTTACCTCTCACATTACAAAATTACAAGAGATATTTAAAATTATATAGTTTTAGTTCTTCACTTTTTAAAAGTGTATCATTAATTGACTGTGACCAAAAAGCTTCCAGATTTCACATCGATGCAAATAATTCAGCTTTCCTTTTTTTTTGAATTGGAGTCTCACTCCATTGCCCACACTGGAGTGCAGTGGCCACTCCCGGCCACCGCAGCCTCGACCTGCTGGGCTCCGGCGATCCTTCTGCCTCAGCCTTCCAAGCAGCCGGAACTACAGGTGCGCGCTACCACACCCGGCTAATTTTTGATTTATTGTAGAGATGAGGTCTCACCAAGTTGCCCGGGTGGGTCTGAAACCCGCAGGCTCAGGCAATCCACTCACCTCGGCCTCCCAAAGCGCTGGGATTACAGGCTGAACTACCGAGCCCAGTCTAATTCAGCTTTCTATGTGAGGGTAAGGAGGTCTTTCTGGTGAAGAGTTGCTGCATGACACACTTAGAATTAATTTCTGCTCAGTTGGACCTCACTTATTTTTTCGATGTATTTATCTTTTTTTTTTTTAATTAATATTTTTTATTATGATATTATGGGGTGCAGTTAAGGGTTAGGTGTACAAATATGCTTCGTTCAGGCATCCTTGTTGATAAGAGGTGTCTCCCCGTGTAATTTTTTTTTTAATATCTTAGTATTAATTCATCATATATACAGAGGGTGCCAAAAAAGTATACACATTTTAAGAAAGGAAAAAACTATTAAAATTGTAATACTTAGTATATACTGGTATCAAAAGATGAATACAAGTCACGTTTGACTTCCACAATTACAAGAGGTGCTCAAAGTGGTTATCATCAGCATCCAGACACTTCTGATTATGGTGAGCCAAAATTAATACATAGATAATATTGTTTAAAATGTATATACATTTTTTTTGGCACCCCTGGTATATTACTTATTGTGTGCCTTATTAATTTAATGCTAAATAATCTTCTCATCTCAAGACAGTTATTTTCATCAAATAGTCTATCAGTTTTACTTTCTTGAAGAGCTGCTTCTTAGAGTCTTCTGACCTGATCCAGTCTGGACTAGTTGTCCTCTGTATCTGTCAAACAGCTGCCATCTTAAATTCCCTTTACTTCCCTTGAGTTGAATCTTCTGTGTTCTGTATTCCATGGTCTTCCTCTTGGTTTATTCCTTAATTTTGATGAAGTACATCCTCCAGAACCTTCCTAAGAAAAAGCATGTTGGAAGTTAAGAGTTTTGAAACATTAAGGTCTGGAGTTTTTTTTCTCTCTCTCACATTTGATTGGTTGTTTGGCTGGGTATAAAACTCTGGTTTTAGATGATTTTATCTTTTTTAACCTTTTATGTTGAATTTTTTATTTCTACTATCATAGTTTAATTTCCAAGAATTTGGGGGTTTTTTTGGTTGTTTTTTTTTTTTTGGTTCTCTGTTTCTTTTTTTAAAAAAAATAATATCATCCCCATTCTTGTTTCATCGTTATAATATCATCTATTTTATTGAGGATATTTTAGAAGTTTTCTTCTAGTGATATGGGCTCTATTCCCTCCAAGTTTTGTTGGTTCATTGATTGATTGTTTTGGCCTTTGCATTTCATGTTAGAGTTTTTCCTCAGGTGTCTGATCTTTTTAAAGAGTATGGAACTGGAATGCTGATAGGAAGGTCTATGTAGTTGAATGTGGCTTGTGGGAAAAAAAGTGAGATGAGCTGGAAAGTGAACTTAGTTTGGGCCATTTATTGGGAGAATTCCTGCTGTAGAGACTTTTGAATTTTCAATATGGGATGGTGAGACACCCCAGGGACGCTTGCAGCCTCCTGACTGACATATTCTGGGAGCTGGAGAGGACAATTGGGACTCTCAACCATTCTTTTAATCATTATTTTAATCACTTGCTATTAATGGTACCCTCATCCTTCACTGGATCTGATGTTGGTTCACATAAACCCCTGTTTTACCTTCTTCAGAGAATAAAGCTAGTGTTCTTATATGATGGGCAAGGGGCTGCTCAGTGCCATGACGAGGAATGGGGATTTAGGGACTTAATTGATTCTTAAATCTCTTTCCACTAGTCCTTCCCCAGTGCTCACTTCCAAAGGTAATTTGTGTACCAATTCCTTAGTCTTTTAGGATTCTTAGTATACAAGGGGGGGGACCCCAAAAAACCCAGAATTATCTTTTTGGAGAGTGGGCCCGTTGTAGTACACTCAAAATTTGTTCCTCCAGATCAAACAATCAGCCAAAGTTTTTATCTGGAAGTTTTGAGAAGGTTGTGTCACAGTTTGTGGAAGAAATGTCCCAAGTTGTGACAAACAGGTGACTGGTTCTACCATGACAACACACCTACCCACACTGTTCTGAATGTTCAACAGTTTTTGACCAAAAATATCATGACCCCCAAGTCCTACCCTCCCTATTCACCCAACCTCACCCTGAGTGACTTCTTTTCTTGTTTCCCCAGATGAAAAAGTCTTCAAAGGGAAACATTTTGTCAATGTGGGAGAGGTGAAACAAAATGTCAGGAGCACTAAAAGGCATCAAACTTGACAGGTTCAAAAACTGTTTTGAGCAGTGGAAAAAGCATCTTGATAGTATATTGCATCAGACAGAGAGTATTTTGAAGGTGATTGAGCTTTAAACATGTAAGGATAAATACACAACTTCTAATAAATAAATTCTGGGTTTTTTGGATCCCCCCTTGTAAGTCAAATTGTGTCTCATTTTTCCTTAAGAACAGTTTAAAATTCAGTATCTTGATTCTTTTAAGTCAATTACTACTTGTCTGTGTACCTTGTTGCTCTCAAGACATCATGGTTGTTGCCCTCTCACCTACTTTTTTTTGTGGCTTTATGCCTTTTTAAAGAGTCTCTTGACTGTAGTTTTAAGATGGAGAGACATTAGATGCATGTGTTCAGTCCACACTCTTTACCGAAGCTACAATGGTTTGCAAGGGTATGAAATAAAGAGTAAATTCTCTCTCTGCCACCCGTGTACCCGCTTCCCAGGGATAACCAGAAAAAGTCACATGTGTTAGTCTTCCCAGCACTTTTTAATACATATTTTTTATTTCTATGGAATAATGCGTATCATTTAAAGAATCACAAAGAAAATGTCATTGTGTCAACACATATAAATACTTACATGTATGGTATATGATGTAAACATACTACATGTATTTGATGTATGTTGAAATTACAGAGTTCCATATCAGTATGTTCTGATATTAATATTCTGTTTCATAATTATTATATTGCATTGTTTTCTTAATGAGATCCCAGTTGATGGATATTTGTTGTTTAATCATCTTTTTAATATGATTATAAACAATGCCACTATAAATATTTAGCCAGATGTTTTTCACTACTTCTTAAAATATATTTTTAGATAAATTATTAAAAATGGAGTTTATTAAATGGATATGTGCATTTTTTATTATGAAGATATGCCAACTTGTTCTTTAAAAGGTTAGGCCTCTACTGTAGGACATAAAAGTCTTTTTTAACGTACTGTGTTACATGAGTATTACTGAGCTTTTAAATCTTTGACATTCTGATAAGTGAAAAATGCTATCTTATGTTTTTAATTTGCCTGTCTTTAAATATGTATGAAATTAATCATGTGCATGGTGAGTGCTCTCTTTCTGTGAGCTGTATATTCAGTTTGTTTAGGCATTATTTTCTGGATCATTCATCCTTTTCATGCCAATTTGTAAGAGGCCATTATATTTGGGAGGTTTTTACTCTTTATCTCTCATATGTTTTACAGATATTATTTTTCACATTTTCTACTTTGTGTACCGTATTTTGCTATATAATCAATATATTTTAAAATGAAAAAATATTCAACAATTGGCTTCATTATCCCTGGCTCAAATTATCTTTATAACTTTAAAATAATCTACAGTGTTTAACCTCACTTAGAAAATATTAGTGTTACTTTATTTCAACTAACTAGTTTATAGAATAAATTTAAGATTTTCTTTCTTTGATTCTGACTTTACACATGAATGAAGCTTCGTTTTCATGTGTCATATGCTATTTGGGTAAAAAAATTTCTATTTTCAGTGTTCTACCCAGGAGTTCTTCTTGATTGTCAAAACCCTGTATCATCTGAAATCAGAATTTCAAGCAATAATACCTGCTGTCAAATCCCACGTTCAGTCAGATCTGCTCCAGACAGTGATTTTAGAAATTCCTGACCTACTCAGCCCAGTGGAGCATTTCTTAAAGATACTCAATGAGCAGGCTGCCAGGTGGGTGCCCTGACCTCAGATCCTTCTCAGCCGTGGACATAGTCTAGTCCATTTGCCATTTGATGTGTGGGTTCTTAAACTATGGTAGAAGTTGCATGAGTATATGTATTGTTAAAAATGTGATTGGAAGCTGGGCTCGGTGCCTCAGCCTGTAATCCTGTGCCTTTGGGAGGCTGAGGTGAGTGGATTGCCTGAGCCCGCGGGTTCGAGACTCACCTGGGCAGCGAGACCTCATCTCTACAATAAATCAAAAAATCAGCTGGGCGTGGTAGCGCATGCCTGTAATTCCGGCGACTTGGAAGGCTGAGGCGGAAGGATCACCAGAGCCCAGCAGGTCAAGGCTGCAGTGGCCGGGAGCGGCGACTGCACTCCAGTCTGGGCGACAGAGTGAGACTCCAACTCAAAAAAAAAAAAGAAAACTGTGATTGGATCCTAAAAGTGTAATGTTGCAGCTGGAAGTAACACTCTGCTGTCTAAAATCTAGGCAATTCACCATGAGGACAGATACAGTACTTCCTCAAATATCAGGTGATGGAGAGGTAAAACCCAGGCATAGCCAAATAGTAGCAATTTATTTGCCCCCAGAACCGGTATTCCATGACACTTTGTAGTCATTTCCTCAGTATCCAGAGTGGTCCGCCTTATGTTTAGAATCTGTAAAAGCCAGTTATCCTTTAAAAGGAGGTCATCTTACAACACATCACACAAAGATTTCTATGTAAAAGAGAAAAGACTTGACATTTACATTAGTCCTTGTTTTCTGAATAGGCAAACAAATATTTTATCTCTTGGTTTTGCCATGGGACTTACAAACTTGCAAAATGAAAATATTAGGGTAATTTTATCTATCCCCAGAGAAGTTAAGAGACAAACCCATAAATACTTAGTGACAGAGCTGGAATTAGAACAATACTTTTCCTGACTTCCAGCCCTTTCTTTTTTCATTCATGCTACGAAAGATATTTAATAACTTGTCTCACTAATATGCTTATTTATTTGCATTTTTCAATTTTTAGAATTGGAGATAAAACTGAATTATTCAAAGACCTTTCTGGTTTCCCTTTAATAAAAAAGAGGAAGGAGGAAATTCAAGAAGTAACTGAAAAGATCCAAATACATTTGCAGGAAATAAGAAAAATACTAAAAAATCCTTCTGCACAATATGTGACGGTGTCAGGACAGGAGGTAATGTCAAATGTACTTGTATTTTGCGTTAGTTTTCCTCTAGTACAAAAGCTATTTTAAAATGTAAATAAAAACCTGAGGATAGGATTTTTTTCAAATTTTCTGTTTTGTTCTTTGGAACATGTTATTATAACTTGTTTTGACAAGAATTCTTTTAGTGATTGTAAAAGCCATGCAGCTTAATGTTACATGTGTTTTATTTAGTATTATCTATTGACATTATATTTTAGAAAACCTGGATTGTTATAAATAGTAACTTATAGAATTTATATGTTTTGAATCTAGGAGAGAGAAATTAGTCTTTGACCCATGGTACATAGATGATGAAGTGACACACAGAGAACCACCTTGAGTTCATTGGGCCAGACTGTGTTTAAATGGCAGGGTGTCTTCCCGAAGTTAAGAGTACAAGCCGGGCTCGGTGGCTCAGCCTGTAATCCCAGCACTTTGGGAGGCCAGGATGAGTGAATTGCCTGAGCCTGCGGGTTTGATACCAGTCTGGGAAACTTTGCAAGACCTCTTCTCTACAATAAAATAAAAAATTAGCCAGGCATGGTAGCACACGCCTGTAGTTCTAGCTACTTAGAAGGCTGAAGTGGAAGGATCGCCGGAGCCCAGCAGGTCGATGCTAGGGTGGCCATGAGTGTGCCATTGCACTCCAGCCTGGGTGACAGAGTGAGATTCCAAGTCAAAGAAAGTGTAGCAGCTAAAAAAAAAAATGCAAAAGAACAAATCTAGAGTGAAACCTACACTTAATGAGTCTCCCCTAAGATTGTTGTGCTGTTGGGAATGTGTTTTGGGATGTGTACTAATGTTTAAAGTTTGATGGTAATGTCTGAATGAGAACTGGAAAAGGAAGATGTATGCTTTTTAAATGTTGTTGTGCTTTTTGGTCCTATTTTTGTCTTGAGGCATGCTATGCCTACATCTTATGTTTAATAAAATATGGAGATTCCTAGGAAACTTGAGAAATTATACTTCATTAAAATAGCAAATTAGGAAACTTATGAATAATTTCTATAAGATGAACATCTTATTCAGGATATTAAAAAATAGATACTTTTCTGGCAGGGAAGAACTTAATTTTATTTCAAATCAAAATTTTAAATATTTACATTGCTTTGTGCATTTTACCAAGATTGTTGATTGTATGGTTATATGAAATAAGACGTTCTACAATAAATGGTCATCTTTACTAAAATGTTGATTAATCTTTGTATTTACTAGATTTAACCATTGATTAAGTTGGCCTGTCTTCTGGGCTGAAATTACTGAGATGTTCTACCCAGGCAGGTATTTCACAGTGCTATCCACATAGAGTTCTGTGTAGCAGAAACCTGACTTTACCACATTTAGACTTCTGTTTATCTTCCAAACAGGTGAACACCAATATTTAATTGTATTTCTTGTTTTTGCCACGCATTCATTACCTTGCAAAGTAGAAAGTGACTACAGGGCCACAGTTCTGGCTGCTTGTTGAAAGTGAGATGCTCAACTGCTTTCATAGCATTGGTATAGATTGTAGAAAGTGAAACTAGTATTCCATCGAGAAAGCTGATCTGGTGGCCAGCTCTGCCACTTGCATGCTGCGTGTCCATGGACATCACCTGTGTTGGTGAGACTGTTCTGGAGAACAGTTGAGTTAAAACATGTAGAAGTGCCTTCTAATCCTAAAGCATAATTTATCAAGCACTTGCCAGAGTCTAGGATGGTGTTAGGTGCTTTACGTATATTATCTCATTTAATTCTTGTAATAATACCACGAAGGGTCATTCCCTAAGTTACTCTGCTCAGCAGCCCAGTTCAGCCCAGGTCTGCGTGACCCTACCCTTTCTACCTTGTCATTATTTTTTTCCATTCATAAATATTAACATGAGAGGTTGTCAGCACCATGGGTTTTATTTGACATTTTATACTATCCAAACTAAAATAAAGTTTATTTTAGGAAGACAGTCCACCTGGCAGTTTTTAAGTAAAAATGGAAGAAAATTATCAAGAATGTATACGCAATAGTAGGCTAGTTATTCATTATGAGTATGGCATTGAGGTTTAAGAAGTACTGCATGGCGATCCAATAACTATATTACAAATGATTAAGAAGGAAGGTAAATTTTCTTTTTATTCTTTATTCTCCAAGGGGATGAGTTTGAATAAAGTTTCTTGGTTAACAGTAGAATTAATTTTTAGGTTGGTTTTTAATAACCTCTATCTAGGATTTTAGTATTACATTAATACAAAATTGCTTTTATTGATTTTTTTTGAAAATTAGTGATTCTGTTTAAAAAACCAAATGATTCTAAATATTCAGAACTGTTATCAAATTCTGCTTTTAAAAATGGACTACAGTTATTAACAAGTTATTTAGAGATGCTTAAAGAACTAGGAACAGATTCCATCAAATATGTTACCTCTGAGAGGTGAAGGAGGCAGGAAAGAAAACCCTTAATCTGTATTTGAAGGTGCTTCTGTGTACTTTTCTGTCTGAAATTTTATTTCTATGCGTATGACTTTGTAATAACTTTTAAAGCCTATTATAGCAACCCCATGTGGTGGTACATGGATCTTGTTTCAGTTACTAAAATTAGGCAGGCAGTATACTAGGTTGTTAAGCCAGTGGAAACCTTCATTTTCCACCTTGACCTCGGCATTAACATGCTCTTTGTAACGCTAAGCCCTGTTGTCTCTGACTGAGAGTGTTGGCTTAGAAGAAGTCATGGAAGCAGATGCTTATGGAGCTTCATGTGGTTAGTTGGCTACTTTTGTGGCTGTCCTCATCATGGTTTATGAATACAGACAATTTTCTCTGAACCTTGAATCCAGTATGGAATAGATAATAAGGCGGTCTTTAGATTTAGGGCAGTGTTAATAATTATTATTCTAAGTAAGGGCAAAATCATCAGGAAAAAAGTGTAGTAATTTACAGCATATAACATACCCAGCTATCTGTTTAGTGTTTTTAAAACGTGGAAACATTCTCTCTTAACTCTTACTTCTAAATACAAAACATTTGAAAATTCTTAAGAGAATGAGGAAGAAACGGGGAGTGGGGGAATGAAGTGTGTGCTGGGTGAAACAGATGTGGATTCTGTAGGGAGTTAAGTCTCAGCAGAGCCAGCAGTGACACCAGCCCCACATTGCTGCAAGCTGTGTAGACGGAGCAATGGCATCTGACATGTGATGAGACAGAGTTGGGTCCTGGGAGAAGACTGGGGGCTGTCAGGGCTGACTCCAAGACCAACACCGAGATACAGAGCCAGGTCTATGGAGTAGGAAGTGGTGACCAACTGCCGCAGGTTGCTGGAGCACATACTGTTTTCTTTTCTCTCCCAGTTGCACCCTCAGCAAGAGGGCCTGCCTGCTCATTCCTGGAGTTTGAAACAGTCAGTCGCTGGAGAAAAACATTCCACACTGTAGCTAATGTGGAAAGACAGAGCCAGCTGGTGACAGCTCCAAGGAGGGGCTCGGGCCAAGGGACACATGGCTGTGACACACTGCACCCGGGTGCTTCCTGGCCCCTGCCGTTCCGACTCCGTAGGTTGGCTACAACAACCATGTCCTTGGAGTAGACCCATGGTGCCTGCAGATGGACTCGTGGTCAGACCGTCCCACGGAGCTCATCGTTTCTTGGCTTCAATTCAGTCTCCACCATCCCCAGTGTCACGGCCTGGAGCTCCGTACTTGTCATTGTGGGCGGGATGTGTCCTTCCTAAGTCCCAGGGACCCAGCATGCTCCTGTGTTTTACTGTCTGCCTGTGGCCTAGCTCTGCCCAGAATTATTTCATATTTAATAAAACAACTAATGTGTCTTACCTAGAACATTTTAAAATAGCAGAATTATGTAGCTTAAAAGTAGTTTTATCTTTCCTGTCAATGATATTTTTTGTGGGATTTTTCTTTTAGTTACTTTTTGTAGCCAAAGGGGGTTCTTCTAGACTCTTTACTCTTGTCTGTTTAACTGGGTGTGGCAGACTTGAAACTGTTTAATTTCTCTCTATACAGAAAGACAACATTAACTTTCAACATTTTTGCTGAGGATGAAAATTCTTAACATTAGTCGTTAATTCTTACTATAATTAATGTAAAAACTAAGTATTTTTGTTAATGTAAAAATAAACTCAAGAACCAAGTTGATACTATTAGTAATATGAATATTATAAATTCCTGAACTTATATGCATATTATAAAACTGGTAAGTTTGAAAAAAGTTCTCATCGCTATCTCAAAATGAATGACAGCCACAGAGCTTGTGGATTCCATTCTGCACAAAATAGGCTTTGAAAAACTTATTTAACTAAAACATGAATTTGACTGTAATAATGTGGGAGTGGAAGCACGCCAAGAAGAGATGCTGTGTAACTAATGCTAAAACCAAGAAGTGCGGTGGAACATCGCAGGCTTTGGCTGATTTCAGAGATGCCTGTGTGCAGGACACAGTTGGGTCATAAAGACACAGTTTATAGAAGTAAAACCTCAACTGGCATGTGAAGAAATACCTTCTTCTCTTAGTAGTTAGGGAAGTTCAGAGTCTTCTCTGTGAAGTAAGATTTAGCTTCTTTAGATAAAAACTATTACAAAAAAATCTCTTCTGTTCAGAGTAGGGGAGGGTCCTTGTCTCAAATAGGTGTAACATATAGTAATTGAATATTTTAAAATCTTTTATACTTAGAAGTTTAATCTCGGAGTAATAGAATTCTTAAGTAAGTACTAATATGTGAAAAAGGTTATTAATGAATAAAACCATCATTTGTAGGATGCACATAGCAGTATTATAAACATTAAAGCCCCGAGGTGTATGCTTTATTACAGACTTTTTGCTCATCACAATTGTGTTTTATCCCAAGTATTGAAACTCTAATTAATGTTATTTAGCTGTATTAATGTATATAAACTCTCTGAAGAATATCACTGGATAAATAACTAAAAGATATATATTAAACTCTTAGACTGCGATTTTGAGAAAAGTTTAAAAAAATAAGGACTTCCCATCTAAATATGTTTATTTGTATTTGTTTTAGTTTATGATTGAAATAAAGAACTCTGCCATATCATGCATACCAACTGATTGGATTAAGGTTGGAAGGTAGGTTTAAAAATAATTTTTTTTGTGTGTATAACAAGAATTATAATGACATCTGTATACCTGTGTGCTACTTGACCAATAATAGCCACATTCTTGAAATTAAAAGCAATTCTCCCCCTTTGGTTTTCTATGGAACTTTTAACCAAAGAGATAATTATCTTTAACTCTTTTTATCATTGATCGTAAAACATTTTTAAAGGGGTATTTTATTTTTACATATTTATATTTGTATATATATATATTTTTTGTCAGCATCTCACTCTGTTGCCCAGGCTGGAGTGCAGTGACAGGTTCATGACTCACCACAGCCTTGATCTCCTGGGCTCAAGCAATCCTCCTACCTTAGCCTCTTGAATAGCTGGGACTACAGAGGCACACTACCACACTCAGCTAATTTTTAAAATTTTTTTATAGAGATGAGATCTTACTATGTTGCCAATGCTGGTCTCGAACTCCTGGGCTCAAGCAATACTTCTGCCTCCCAAAGTGCTAGGATTACTAGTATGAGCTACCACGCCTGGACTTTATTTACATATTTGTTTTCCTGTTTTATGAGCTATTGTTTTATTCTTATAGCACATGAAAAACGAGTTGAGAACCTTCGGTTGTAAGATTAATTTAGTTGCTCGAACTTCTTGATGAATGCTGTGCCTGACATTTCTTTTAAGAAGCTGAATTTCATTTTCTGCCTCACTGAGCTTCTCATTTCTTTATTCTTCATGCATTCCTGGGCATATCGTTTTAATCGCTCTTTACATCTTCTTTTTGTAACCTGTATCTTGAATTGATGAAAATTAACCAGAAACAAAATTAGATAACCACATTGAGACCCTCCCTATTCTCCTTGATTTGACATTAATCTTGAGAGGGGCTGGTTGAAGAAGTGGCCTAGAAAATGTATACTCTTGCAGGCATCCTTTGTGGGGTATTTGTTTAGAGGCTCATTGAAGAAGTGGCTTATGAAGTGTGTACTCCTGTGGGCACATCCTCTGTGGGATATTTGTTAGGAGATCATTGAAGAAATGGCTTAAGAAGTGTATGTTCCTGTGGGTGCATCCTCTGTAGGTTATTTGTTATGGGCTCATTGAAGAAGTGGCATTATGTAGTGTGTACTCCTGTGAGCACATCCTCTGTGAGATATTTGCTAGGGGATCACTGAAAGAATGGCTTAGGAATTGTGTGCTCCTGTGGGCACATCTTCTGTGGGATATTTGTTAGGGGCTCATTGAAGTGACTTAGGAAGTGTGTACTCCTCTGGTCACATCCTCTGTGGGATATTTGTTAGGGGCTCATTGAAGTGACTTAGGAAGTGTGTACTCCTCTGGTCACATCCTCTGTGGGAAATTTGTTAGAGGGTCATTCAAGAAATGGTGTTAGGAAGTGTATACTGCTGTGGGCACATCTTCCATGGGATATTTGTTTGGGGCTTATTGAAGAAGTTGTTTAGGAAGTATGTACTCCTGTAGGCATATCTTCTAGGATATTTGTTAAGGGCTCATTGAAGAAGTAGCATTAGGAGGTGTGTACTCCTGTGAGCACATCCTTTGTGGGTTATTTGTTAGGGACTCTTGAAGAAGTGGCTTAGAAAGTGTGTGCGCCTGTGGACGCATTTCCTGTGGTATATTCGTTGGTACCATAATTAATAAGTTTGCATGAGCCTGAGATGAAGTTTTACATTTGCCTTAAACTGTGAAGGAGGGACTAGTGGTTGGTGATGGTGTGAAAGAACTCTGTGATAAGGCTGAAGGGACACTTTGACAGGATGTGAGAATAACTGTTAACTTACTGTTCTAATTAAAAAGCAAAACTGTTTATTATCCATTGCCACAGCCTCAGATGATGAGGGCTTGGGCATGGGCTTCTTTAGCCCAATACTATTCTTTTATTTTGGTCTGTGCCGCCAGAAGCCTTACTTTAGGTTTGAGTGTTGCCAATTTCAGGAGTGCTGTCTTCTCCTTGAGGGGGTTCTCACCTTGGCCTACTTTTGTCATATGCCACAACTCATGAATGAAATGTGCTTTATGAAGAGAAATCACGAGAAGTCATGTTAGCCTGTCTTCAGCAATAATTGACGTGTCTCACTAAACAAGCCTTGCCAGAAAAGAAGCTGTGATGAATATGTTGGCACAGAAGTCTAGATGATGTAATTTATGAGCAGCAGGCAAGGTGTAAATCAGCATCAGCATCTTTTGGACATTCAATATTGTAAATTGAATGAACAGATAAGATGGTTTTGGAAAGGTTCATTGCAATTTATCTGTTGTCTGGCCATCGGAGCCTTGACAAGAACAGGTTAGAACATTACCAGTCAGGTTATGAATGCAAAAGGCCCTCCTCTAATCCAGTCTCTGGGCAAACTGAAGATAATTGTAACAGTGAATACAGGAGTGGGGAGCACTTGAAGACCAGAGGACACCTTTTCCCCTTAAAGACCCTTCAACATTATAATAGCATCAGCAGCAATAGCAACTATCACTACCACAAGACAACTAGTTTTTGTGTGTATATGTGTGTTTTTTAGTTGGGGTCCCACTGTGTCACCCGGGCTGAAGTGCAGTAGCACATTCACGGCCACTGCAGCCTCAACCTGTTGGACTCAGGTGATTCTTCCACCTCAGCCTTCCAAGTAGCTGGAACTACAGGTACACGCCACCATGCCCCTCTAATTTTTTGATTTATTGTAGAGATGAGGTCTCACCAAGTTGCCTGGGCTGGTCTCGAACCTGTGGGCTCAGGCAATCCTTTCACCTCAGCCTCCCAAAGTGCTGGGATTATAGGTGTGAGCCACCATGCCCAGCCTGACAACTCGTTTATTTGGAGTACTTACAACAGAGGTACTATCTGATCCTCTCAGCAGTCCCTCTGAAGTAGAAACTATTATCCCCATTTTATAGGTAAGGAAACTGATGTTTCAGAAGGTCAGGTCCATTTACTCAGATTTACATTCTGGCAAGTGGGTGGCAGGGTGGAAGCCTTGGCCTGAGCTCTCTGGGGGACCCACAACCTCCTGCTGTGCCCTCAGCTTTTGGGCAGAGCAAGCTTGTCCTGTAGACCAGGTGAGGAGTTATATACTGTTGCTCCTCACCCCAGCCACTGTGACCCTGCATGGGTCCCCAGGTCCTGGAGAGCTCCTCTCTTAGGTTGCCTCCTGTGTTAGTGCACTGCTCTGGCATGTGTTTTATCTTTCTGTTTTCATTGGAACAAGTCACTTATGCAGAAAAGTAACAATGTAAAGAATAAGGCCAGACAGAGTGGCTCAGCCTGTAATCCCAGCACTTTGAGACACCAAAGCGAGAGGATTGATTGCCTTAACCCCAGGAGTTCAACACCAGCCTGGGCAACTTGGCAAAACCTTGTCTCTTCAATAAATCACAAAAACTAGCCGGACGTGGTGGCTTGCATCTGTAATTACAGCTACTTGGAAGGTTGAGGTGGAAGGATCACCCGAGACCAGCAGGTCAGGCTGTGGTGGCCATGAGTATGCCATTGCACTCCAGCCTGGGCAACAAGAGTGAGGCTCCAACTCAAAATAATAATAATAATAATGTAACCTTCACTGATGTGTCTGCCTCCAACTCTGTCACACTTTATTTTGCTTTATTTTCTTCTGACCTTCTTTAAAAAGTGTTTTGATTTAGTATAATTTGCTTATGAAATAGAAACTCTAAGCCCTGACTTTGCTGTATGAGTATAATTTGAAATGCGTTTAGAAAGCTTCCTGAACAAAGTCAAATTTTTCTGAACCAGTAGAGTTTAGTACCATAATTAAAGAATGTTCCTCTGTTTACAGCTACTTACTTTCAAGGTTCATCAGAGAATAATAAATAGCTACTTTCATTTTCCAGAATGATGACATTACTGATTCTTTACTAACCTTGATTTCTTTTTTCTGTTTCTCCTCTTCTAGCACAAAAGCCGTGAGCCGCTTTCACTCTCCTTTTATTGTGGAGAATTACAGGCATCTGAATCAGCTCCGGGAGCAGCTTGTCCTTGACTGTGGTACCGAGTGGCTTGGTTTTCTGGAGTGAGTTTACCATGAAAAATACAGTCTGACTTTTTGCTGGGAGAAATAGACTGGAAAATCTTTCCATCAGAAAGAGAATAGAGACCACTGCTTAGATCTGCCATAAGTAGCCGAGGCCTGTGTTCTCCAGTTTATTTTTTGATTCTTGAAATGTCAGCTCATCCTAATCTTTGATGAGAGACCAAATATACTTTGTTATTACTGTACTAATATTTTATTCCTGAGGGTGTTTTGTAGTCAGTTCTTGAAATTCCACCTTGGAACTTACCTTTTTTATATAAAGCCTTATCGTCTCTTTCAGGATTGGACAAGTTAGGAGTTAGTGTTTTTTTAAAAATCTCCATTTTTTTTTAACATCCTGTATGTTTTCATCCCAGCTTTTTTTGAAATTTAAAAAGTCTACTGAATGTCAAGATGTCCACCTGCACTCTTCTCCTAGGTTCATCAGATGTTAACATTTTGTCACATTTGTTTTTTATCTTTCATATGTTTCTTTTTCTGAACATTTGGAAGTAAGTTTTAGACATCATAACATGTGACCCCTGAGTGTTTAAGCATGCATCTTCTAAAAATAAGGACATTCTGCTGTATAGTCATAACACTAATATCACACCTATGCAAATTAATTTATGAATATATTTAAATTTCCTGAATTTCATCAGTGTCCTCCCTCTCAAATTTTTAAATGTAAGTTCTAATCAACTTTCACAGTGGTGCATTTGGTAATTATGCTTCTTTAGTCTATTTGCATCTAGAATAGTCTGTTACCTTTTTTATTTTTACAGCATAGGATTTTTTTGAAGAGTTTTTTTGCCATTGTCTTTACCTTCTGGATTCATTGATAGTCACGTGTTCATTTGGACAGTTTTACATCAGTGGTGTGCTGACAAATGGCTAACAGCCAGCTTTCTGCAAGAACAGTGATGTTCTTGGCATTTGCTGATGTCTGAAGTACAGATACTCCCCCCAGGGCTGAGTGCAAGCTGCCACTGGACTGAAGTTGGGAAGAGAGATTTCAGGCCACCACTTGTCTAAGTACTGCATGTATAAACTCTCTATTTCTCACATGAGCTTTGTGAAGTTAAGTATTATTACCATACCCAGTTTACAGATGAATAAAGTGAGATGCAGAAATAAGAAGTTGCTCTTATTAGGACAAGGGTTGGCGCCCAGGATGAGCCCCGCTGTCTGGCTGAGGAGCTGCCTACCTTGAGTCTGCAGGTGTCCCTCCAGATGGGAGTCTCTGTTAGACTCACTCTTTAGAAACCTAAACAGTAAAAAATTAGGGAGGTGCTTCGGAGCTTTATTCCATTTCACGTAACTAACCTGATAAGCAGAGAAAAAAGAATAAAAAAGGATTATGTGAGAGTTTTCAAAAGGTAATAAGTAGGTACTAACCTCTTTTTGCCTAGAGGAGTCTTAAATTATAAGACCAGGAAGACTGCTCATATGTCTTCTTTTGAGAAGTGTCTATTCATATCTTTTGCCCACTTTTTAATAGGGCTGTTTTTTTTATTCCTTTCAGCATGCTTGAGTTCCTTGCAGATCTTAGATGTTAGGCTTGGCAGATATACAATTGGCAAATATTTTTTCCCCATTCTGTGGGCTGTCTCCCTGATCTCTTGATGGTGTCTTCTGCTTTGCAGAAGCTTTTCAGTTTGATGAGGTCCCACTTATCTATCTTCTCTCTTATGGCATGGACTATTAGGTTTTTGATCAGGAATTAGTTACCTATTCTGATTTCACTAAGAGTGTCTTCTGTGATTTATAAGTTTCTTATAGTTTGAGGTTTTATGATTAGGTCTTTTCAATCCATTTAGAGTTGGTTTTTGTTTATGGTGATAGGTAGGGGTCCTTTTTCAACCTTGCACCTCACATCTTAAAAAAAAAGACCAGGAAGAGAGTATAGTTTAGTTGTACTGAATCTTTTGAGATTATCTGATTCAGAGTCTTGAACCCAGGGACAAAATTTTATCTATTTAGTTTCTTTTCCAATTCACTTTCAAATTCCCATTTTAAGGGTTTTCAGGACCTCTGAGATTTTTAGTTCTCCTGGCCTTTTCCTTAGTATTGGCATCAAGAACATGAAAATTGGACTAAAGCAACACCTTTTAAGCTTCAAGGACCATGTTCTAGAAGTCCCTGAGATTTTATGAGGTCTTACTGTGTTTATTCTGTTCAAAGCATACATGACTGCGTAGGTCTGGTGTGTTCTTCTGTCATTATTCCAGACTAAAGAAAGCTTATGTCTCCCAGGCTAAGGCCTTGGTGTTTTTCTTGGTTCCTCCTTCCCTTGTGTCCTTATGTCTATTGTTAGATTCTTAATTGTCTTTTCCCCTTTGAAACATCTCTTTGACTTGTCCCTTCTTCTGCTGCCTCCTAACAGCCTAGTGTTACCTTACCATGCTTGTTGTATCAGCCTTCTGGCTGGGCCTTCTCCAGATTAGCCCAGGAAAGCCTTATGTTCATCACACCTGGGCTGGAATTGTGAGTTCCTTAGAGTGAGTTAGCATTAAATCCAACCTCACAGAAGAATGTGATATTCATGGTGTAGTACTCAGTGGAAAATGGTATGTTAAAGTATGATGTGATTTTGTTGTGTATATTCACATCAGGCACAGCATACAAACCTGTATGTTTTTAAAGATTACATATATGTACTTATTATTATATTACGAATATGCTTGTTACCATGTGTATGTCTTTGGAGAAATGTCTTAATGCATACATGTGAGCATATATATAGACTCAAAAAATATTAACCCATTTCTGAATGTGAGGTTACTAGTGATTTTAATTACTTTGCAAATATAGTTGGCCTTTCATGTCTGTGCTTTCCACATCTGCAGATTCAACCAGCTGTGGACTGAAAATATTCAAAGAATAAAAAGCATGATTATATCTGTGTACAGACTTTTTCTTGTTAATATTACCTAAACAATATCGTGTAATGACTATTTACATAGCACTTACACTGTATTAGGTATTATAAGTAGTCCAGACATGATTTAGAGTGTAGGAGAGAATGTGTGTAGGTTATTATGCAAAGAGTACATCATTTTATATCAGGGCTGTGAGTATCATGGATTTTGGCATCCTCAGAGCATCCTGGAGCCAGTCCCCACAGATACTGGACTGGATGTGACTTCAGAAGTTTCTACAATGTGCATGCTACTTTCAAAATAAGAAAAACATTAAAGTTTTTATAAGAATAAGCAATATTGACAGAAATCTCACTTTGATTGCTTTTATGCTTCAGCCATTGGCTTTCAGCCATTGTTGTGTGAGAGCCCCCACTTGACAGCCAGCATTGACTGTGATGCACATTCTCGAAGTGCCAGATTGGGTGAATAGGATGCCATTAAAAAATGGTGAGCTTCAAGGAACCTGCCTTCAGAGGACTGAATCCTAGCCACACCCTGTTTTTGGCTGTCACCAAGGTCCTCACTGTTGTGCATTAGTCATAACATAAAGGACTGCAAGAAACTCAGGCTAGACATCTCTCTCAAAATTTGTTTCTCTTTTTTTGTATTCTCTTATTTTGTGCTAGTGATGGTGATGTTATAGTATACAATTGTTTTTCATTTTATTTGTCTTATTTATGCTATCCTCTGTCATGCTGACATGATAGAGGATATTGCTATCCATATCATAATAATAACTGTATCCTTCCCTGCTTTTTTGCTGTATTAACTGGAATGGTACCTACTGAGAGTTGTGTCACTCATTTCCATCCTGGAAATTAGAAGAGTGTCAGAGAAGCTGGGCATGGTGTCTCACACCTGGAATCACAGCACTTTAGAAGGCCAAGGCGGGAGAGTTTCTTGAACCCAGGAGTTTGAGAAGAGCCTAGGTAACATAGCAAGACCTCATCCCTACCAAAAAAAAAATGCTGGCATGGTGGTACATCCCTGTAGTTCCAGTTGGTCGGGGGGCTAAGGCAGAAGGCTTGGCTGAGCCCACGAGGTTGATGCTGTGGTAATACCTCTGCACGTCAGCCCCTGTGAGATACCGACTCAAAAAAAAAAAACAAACAAACAAACCATCAGAGGCTGTCATATTCGACTCCAGGCTACTGTTTAGTAACAAATGAGGGTCTTGGTGGCCAGAACAGGCCCTGAGAAGGAGAGCAAGAAAAAAAAATCAACCATTGTTAGTGCCATAGTGCTTGGATACTCATGTCTAGAGGCAAGAGCAGAAACGTCAAATATGGCTGCCTCTGGCAAAAGCAAGGTGCTGGATGGGAAGATCATCTGTGAGTAACTAGAGTAGGGTCAGTACAGCTGCAGTGTGGTAGGGCAGTGGGCAATCAGACTGAAAATCCCAGCCAGAGTAGGAATGACAAGGCTGCTCAGGACACACCCTCTGGGAGGGCAGTCCACATGACATGTGGCATCTTAGAAACTCGGAAGAATTTCTCTGATGCTGTCCCTCTTGGGTCTTGGGTTTTGCATCAACTGTATCTTTTTAGTGGGAATTGTGCTATGTGTTTTGATGAACCATAATTTGGTGAGAAACAGGTACATTATACTCATTATGCTCTATCTACTGAGATGAAAAAGTATACATGTACTGGGAATGTACTTTTCAGTTCACATTTTCTGGTCTCTTAGAAATTTGTGACTTATCACTACCTATGTTAATTTTTTAAAAAATTAAATAAAATCTGGCCAGGCATGGTGGCTCACATCTGTAATCCTTGCACTTTGAGAAGCAGAGGCAAGAGGATTGCCTGAGCCTGGGATTTCGAGACCAGCCTCGGTAAAACTAGCCAGGTGTGCACCTGTGGTTTCAGCTACTTGGAAGGCTGAAGCAGAAGGATCACCTGAGCCCAGCAGTTCGAGGCTGCAGTGGCCATAAGCATGCCACTGCACTCCAACTTGAGTGACAGAGTAAGACTCTGACTCAACAAATAAATAAATAAGTAAAGTAAATAAGTCTGTCTCGCAATCGCTATTTGAGGCAGAATAGTTCCTGTAAGGATTTAAGCTCAGTTATATATTTTATCTTAAAAAGATATTTTTACTGGGCATTTTTAAGCATTAAGTTTTGTAGCTTAATTATGATGGGGGAACCAAAAAAATCCCAGAATTTATTTATAAAAATGTTGTATTTATTTTTACATATTTAAACTTCATTCACCTGCAAAGTACTCTTTGTTTGATTCAGTACACCGATCAAGATGCTTTTTCTGCTGCTGAAAACAGTCTCTGAACTTTTCAATTTTGATGTCTTTTAGTGCTTCTTCCTTTTTTTGTTTCACCTTAAAGTCCCTTTGAGGACTTTTTTCATCTGGGGAACCAAAAAAAAAGTCCCTGGGGTGAGATTAGGTGAATGGTGAGGTCGTGCCATTTTTGCCACGGGGGTCATCCCATTTTTGGTCAAAAACTGCTGAATACTCACCATGGTATTGGCAGATGTGTTGTCATGATGGAAGAACCAGCCACAAGTTTGCCACAACTCGGGATGTTTCTTCTGTAAATCATGATGCATAATAGTGCTAGCTAGTACACTGATGCCGAAGGCTTCCTAGAACACTTTTGTAACAGGGGAAACCTGTACTACAACGAGCCCATCCTCCAAAAGATAATTCAAGGTTTTATTGGATCCCTCCTCATATGTACATTTCAAACATCCATAATTAATCACTACATACAGATGTGCACAATTTATACCGTATTGCACACATTGACACAAAATACTTTGATATGATAAAATGGGATAATTTAAGCAAAAAAGAAAAAAGTATGTATTCTTATACTTTTTTCTGACTGTCTTTCAGTAAGTCTTAAGCTTTTAGGTCATTATTTTTAATTAGCCAAAGATTTGAGGCAATGATCATTATCTTTTTAAAAACACATCTAAAATTTTTATGTGCATTATTAATAACTGAAGATAATTGAAAAAGGTACTTTTTTCTTTTCTTCAACAAGTATTTATTGCAGTGTTTGTTCTATGGCAGCGTTATGGACTAGGCATATTAGGTCTACAGTGGAGTAAGTCAGACCTGGTATTGACATGGCTGTTCCAGGTATGGATGAGGCTGTGAAGCAGCTTCACAGTGGAAAGAGTCACTGATGATCGCAGCTGAGGGACAGAGGTTGCTGGGCTTGTGATCACATACAAACTAACATGTTGGGGTCAGATGAAGCGTGTCATATGGTCTTGGTAGTGGACATTATTTTATAGAAACTGTTTTACTGTTACATAATTCCTAGATGCAAAGAAATCTTAGTGTGATTTCCACCTCTTAACTGTCAGATGTGCCTGGGAATGTTGTGTGTGCTTACACTAGTGGGCAAGGGAGTGCTGTGTGCCATTTCTGTGGGTCTCAGGAACCAATTTGCTCACCTCCTTCTGTTGCCTCCGCAGGAAGTTTGGGGAGCATTACCACTCCTTGTGTAGGGCCACGTATCACCTGGCAACTGTGGACTGCATTTTCTCCCTGGCCAAGGTCGCCAAACAAGGACATTACTGCAGGTAATGTGCTTTTATTTCCCCCTTTACCAATGCTTTAGATAAGATGGCATTATTTCATTAATTTTAGTGTCTTGATCATAAAATATTACGATTACTCAAATGTGTTAGACTCTTGATAAAGTTGAATGTCATGCACATACAGACTGATTTGAAAATTAATAGTTTCCTTGCTTGCTTGTTCTATCTCTATTACTGAGTACAATGAAAACATTTAAAGTTTATTTGGGTGATTTTTTTTCTTTTTTAGTAATAGGGTCTCACTGTGTTTCCCAGGGGTGCGATGCAATGGTGCAATCATAGCTCACTACAACATCAAACTCCAGGGCTCAAGCAGTCCTCCCACTTCAGTCTCCTGAGTAACTAGGACATATGCCACCATGCCTAGCTAGGTTTTTATTTTTTATTTTTGTAGCGGTTGCTATATTTTCCAGGTTGGTCTCAAACTCCTGGGTTCAAGTGATCCTCCTGCTTCACCCTCCCAAGGTGCTGGGATTATAGGCATGAGCCACTACGCCTGGCCCTCTGGATGACATTTTTATAAGGTTTGACCACTTCTTTCATTTGTTAACTCTGACTTGAACACTCTTATTATAAAAACTTGATTAGACAAGAAAGGCCTGAGGGCTGGGTGCCATTTTGGGGGTCTTGTCTGCTCTTCTTTTTGAGAGTCCAGGTTTGTCCCACTGTTCTTCACTGAGGTCTGAACATCCCAATGTGGAATGTTTATCCTCCTTTTCATAGAGGATGTTGGTATCAAACAGATCTAACTCTAAATCTTAGTTTTGATTCTCCAGAAGTGTGAGTTTTTTCATACACTTAAGAAAAATTGCAAGTATTTAGTTCATGGGCTCACTGTGCGAACTAGAGACAGCATGTGAGTGACACTCTCTGCCATGCCTACCCCACAGGGTTCACCGTAGATCCATGTTTTGCTGTTTATATGCCTTTCGTATCTTGGCTTCCTCTCTAATCTGTGTCAGCTGTCTTTTTTTCACATTTAATTATCCTCTGTACCCAGTGTAGTACCCAATAGATAGTGGATGTTTAAAAATTTGTTTAGTGCACAGCATTTCTTTATGTTAGAAGAAGGGTGGAGAAACTGGCTATGCCAGTTATGTACCCTAAACGTACCATTTGCTTTTTTGTTTCATTCAATTTTACTATCTATTTGAATTGCTTGAATCTATATGCCAGGAACAACAGAATCTTGTGTAAAATAGGTTTTTTGCATTTTACTTCTTGCCCTATATCTTGTCACTCAGAGGAATGCAAATATATACAGATTTGCATAGTCAGTTACCTGCAGGCATTTAGAGCTGAAGCATCATAGAGCAGTAACTGGGGGAACTGTATTCGGTTTATCATCTGTAAAGATGCAACACGTAAGCTTACTCGATTTTGGTCTAGTTTTGGGCAACTCAGAGTCTATCTTCAGGTGGCTCGATTTTTCCCCTTAAGCATTTGCAGTGTTAAGGAGTTTTTTTGGGTACAAGTTTTCTGAGCAAACTTCCAGTGGACACTGCTGGTGAGTAGGCAGAGTGTGGACCACTGCCTATGCACACTGTGCATATTCGGGTAAGCACTTAACATCAGAAACACTCACACCCATGTGCCCTTCTCACCTTTCTGCCATTGGTTGCACTAATGCTGCCACTGGCAAGAAAGAAGGGCATCTGTGTGAGTGTGTAATGCACCACTGCATCAGTGGAGAAGTTTGTGTTTGAGTATGTACATATGTATTGGTGTTTACACTTAAACATATCTGTATGTTATATATAATGCATAATTTAAAATAACATTGAATTTGCAGCACAGGAGTCAGAATCCAGCACTAGTGTTGGAAGTGCTGGTCTAGCCCAGCCTCCGTCACTGTCTAGCTGTGTCCTCATGTAAGCCTGAAGTGTCCAGTGAAAGACTGTGAGAAGCCAAGCTGTGATTGGTTAAGAGGATGCATCTTCAGACTGTAGGAATTCTTTATGAAGATGTAGTTTTGGCAAAAGCTATCTAAGTGGTGGAAATGTATTCCTCATATGTCACTTTAAAATGATGCGATTACTTCCTAGACTCTGGAAACATCTTAGAGTATCTGTGGTGTGCAAGTGTGAGTCTCAGTTCTTTCTGTTAGGCTGCTCCTTGCTCTTTTATCATTTTCCAGTGTATATGCCAAGAGGACCCAGATTTGCACGGGGGAAGTTTAGTCTCTCACTAGGCACAGGCTTCGGAATGTAGACCTTGGATCAGGCAGACACAAATGTAAGCAGTAGCGTGGTCATTTCATATCTGACCTTAAGCAAGTTGCTTAACCTCTTGGACTCTTGGTTTCTGCACTGATAAAATAATACCTACACTCAGAAGTGTGCAGATTAAGTGAGATAGAGATATGTGAAAATTCTGAGTGGGACCAGGTAGTTAGTAAGTACTTTGTAGTAGCAGCTGTTGTTATTCACAGATACTGAACTATTTAAAAATCAGAAGGTGTGGTTTCTCTTGCCCATACCAGCTCTGGCATGTCTTCCTTTCTTTTTTCTCTTCTTTCTCTAATAAACTTTGTTTTGAAACTTTAAATAAATAAATATCAGAAGGAGTTAAGTATTATAAAATTTCTTTGTCTTTAATAAAAATACCTGAACTTAAGATCTTCTGTTAGTACCTTTTGTAGCCATTTTCTTTTTTAAAAAGTCACTTCTGCTTTGTCAGTTCTGTCATGTGGCTTATCTCTTGGAACACAGTAAGCATGGTTTAGAGTTTGTGTATGATGATTCAGATGTCTGCAGTTCTCATGGGTCTGCTTCTGTCATTTGTTGTTTCTATTGGTTTTCGTTCCTGCATCTCCTTGAGTGCCTGGCTATTTTGATTATCCACTGGGTGCTCTTATTGCAGAATCATTTGTAGAAACAGTGTGATGTTATACTCATTTTGAAAGAGTTGTTTTTTCTTCTGCTGGGCATCTTAGGACACTAACAATGCAGCCTCGTATGATCCAGATTGGGGGTATGACTGAAGATGAGTTGCTTTCCTGTTTCAGAGGTACCCCTTGTGTGTCTCCACCCAAGCAGAGCCTGTGAGCTCAGGCCCACTTGTCCTCAGAAATCAGTACATAGGCATGAGGGGAGGGGTCCCCTGGCCTTTGTCCCTCCCGATCCCAGCCTGGTAATTCCTTGCTGTCTTGTTAGTTTCCAGGTGGCTTTGGGGAGCTGCTTTCTGTCCTTTGTCCAACTTTTCTATTGTCAGCAGAAGGAGGATTGTTCCAGATCCCCCAGTCTATCAGTGAGACATGCCAGGAAGTATTTCACTTGCTAAAAACCTCAAGTTGGTATCGTTATATCAAGAAAAATCTATCAGAAAAACATCTAAATGAATTACACTACATGGTGGCCTTTAAGTAATGTCATCAGTCTCATTTTTTGACAAAAATAAAATTGAATGTAAACTATAAAATAGGAAACTTCTTTTGCATTTTAAACATAATATTTACCTGAAATTTGCATGTTTTTCTAAATTTCTAGGGGTTTTTTGAAGATTTTAGTACATTTGAGCTATTGCAGTTAATTCAGACATTATTTGGCTTCATAATTGTAGTCTTTTCTTTCTAAATGCTGTTAAGATATTTTTATTCGCTATTGTCTAAACTTTTAGGCCAAAGTTCTTATTCTAGGTCTTTCTATACAGCCTATATCCTGTATATTATGCCATTTTATTAATATAGATTATGTTCTGTTTCTCTGAGGCAGATAAAAGAGGGGTGCAAATAAAGTAAAATAAAATGAGAGGTACAATTTAAAAATATATCAAATAAATTTAAGTTCAAATGTTTTATTCTTTCCAGGAAATATCTTGGTTGTCTTAGTTCTTTCTCTGTCACTGCTGTAAGGTGTCATCAACATGCTTTCCGTAACCTCTCCTGCTATAATTGTACACCCTGGTATGTCATACGAACTCTGTGAGCTATCCTTTGCTTCTTACTTTACCAGGAAGTGTTCTGTCATCATATAGTTTTGATAGCAACAGAATAAGTCAGTGTAAATTTTAATGCAGAACAAATTACTCAAAATTTTATTCTAATGTGAAAATCTTCCTGGGAAGTCATATTACTGTCATGAATGTGATCTGTTGACTTCACATGCCAAAGCACCTAGGATTTTATTTTTAATTGATATCACAAATACTTTCATTTATTTCTGACAATAAATTCATAACCCACCTAGATAAAAATCCCATCTTTAGAATTATACTCTAAAATCCAAAAGTTATCCTTTTCTTATAATTTTAAGTGTTGCTCTCTAACAGATACTTTTAAATTACTTACTTAGGAGATACTATAGTCACTTTTTTTGAAAAATGTAAGAGTACATTCTTGGGGTTTTATTAGCCAGATATATTTAAGAAGAAGAAGTATTTAGGAAAGTACTGTTTCTTGGTGTTATGACTAAGTTCAGAAATGTGTTTATATGTGAAAGTTCTGAGCCAGAGAACTTGATGAGGTTGTTAGTAAGATACTATGCTGAAAAGACCAACAAATGACCAAGAAACTGATTAAAATATGTTTAGTCTTAGTAATCCATGAATGCAAATGAGAACAATGGGATACAGTTTATTTAATTATAATGTACAAATATTGATTCATTAATTGTAATAAAGGTATCATACTAATGTAACAGTGTTAATAGGGGAATGTGGATGTGAGATATAACTCTGTTACAGCTTCTCAATTCTTCTACAAATCTAAAACTTGTAAAAAAAAAAAAAAAAGCTTTATTTAGGAAAAAAAAATGAGGCTCAGACATGTGAAGTGCCAACAGCCAGAGACAATCCAGTGTGTATAAACTGGTTGTTTCCAGGTAATTTTTATCATGTTGCACAGCCTATAACAACGTATTGTATCATATGTTGACATCTAATAAAACTGCACTCTTAAAAAAAAATAGTGGAATTACACCGTTCACCCACCATATTGGCAAGAATTAGAAAGTTTGATAATGCCAGCTTGAGGCTAGGTTATGAAAAAAAGGTTAACTTCATACCCTGCTTGGGAAGGTGAATTGCTATAACTACTGTTATATATTAAAATGAAAAAAGTGAATACCGTATGACCTAGAAAGTCCACTTTAAGAATTTGCTCTAGCTTAGGGAAACACTTGAACACGAGCTCATGGAGACGTGTGAGCTCATGGAGACGTGTAGGGCACGTTGCAGCAATATTTATAACAGTAACAATTTGGACACCTTCTAATGTTTAGCAGCGGGGGACAATGGGTACATCCATGTAGCAACTTTGAAAGAGTGTTGAAAATCTGACAAGAATGACCCTCATCTTCAGTACCCCCTGCCATAAAGGTGCACTGGACCCAATTGCAATTTCTTAAAGGCATTCAAAGAATCAAAAAAAAATTACTTTTTTCTCTTTTAAAAAGGAGAATAAAACTTATTCTGTCTTACATTTTATAAATCTAAGATGTATTTTGGGTTTTTCATTATCTTATTTTTCCTGTATCTTGAAACATTTTGTTATTTCCTCATCCTGGGAATCGTTTAAACATTGTTTATCAATTATTCCAACTATATTGTAAAAGTCTAGAATAGAAAGAAACCTAAAGAATGACGATAGAAATGTAAGAGGGAAAAATCACTGTTGCATCATCCTTCCATTTTTTTTATTGTATTGCCCAAAATATCATGAAGTCTTCTAGAAATCTGGATAGATATCAGATGGATCTCAACGACCACCTCCCACGGGGGCGCCTGAGAGTAGGCAGGACTCAAAGCGGCATGGCTATGTGGATAAAACTGTTGACAAAAACAGATACAGAAGTTTTAAAAAACACAAAGAACAACAAGGCAAAATAAATATATTTTGTATCAACAAAGTGAAAGATATCAAAGACCACAGAAAGATATCTCAATTGAACAGCATATGAAAATTCTTTTTTTTTTGGGTTGGCGTCTCACTCTGTCACCCAGACTGGAATGCAGTGGCTGCTCCCGGCCACTGCAGCCTCGACCTGCTGGGCTCCAGCAATCCTTCTACCTCAACCTTCCAAGTAGCTGGAACTACAGGCGTGTGCGCTACCACACCCAGCTAATTTTTGATTTATTGTAGAGATGAGGTCTCGCCAAGTTGCCCAGGCGGGTCTCGAACCCGCGGGCTCAGGCTGTCCACTCACCTCGGCCTCCCAAAGTGCTGGGATTACAGGCTGAGCCACTGAGCCCGGCCAACATATGAAAATTCTAAGTCATTCTGTTCCCAGTTCTGACACATAACATAGTAATATTTTATATATTTGTAAATATATATATTATATACATATTATATAGTTTATATTAATAATTAATTCTAAAAATAATTTTACACAATTTACTTTATTATGCTTATTATCAAAAAAAATTTAAGTAGCAATATTCTGAACATTTATCTTTCCTGATGAAAATACTGGTTTGATCTTAGATGATAATACAAAAATGAAAAATGAACCCAGGTAGTGTCACGTGCCTGGGTTCCAGCTACTCAGGAGGCTGAGGAAGAAGGATCACTGGAGCCCAGGAGTTTGAGGCTGTAGTGAGCTATGATTATGCCACTGCACTCCAGTCTGGGCAACATAACAAAACCCTATCTCTTAAACAGAAAGAAAAATAATCCTATAAAATCTACCTTTATAGGTAGATTGCAGTGATGGAGCTATCATAAGAGTCTTCTACTATTTGTGTTTCAGGGTGCTATTATTATAATGATTTTCCCAGATTTTATTTTATAGTTTAAATTTAACTTTTATACTCAAAGCCTTACTGGATATATGTTCTTTAAATCTGTGTTTAAGGTTTTGCTGTCTGTCTTACGATATGGGTACTGAAACTTTTCATCCTGTCTCAGAAGTTTTTTAAAGGCAATTTCCATGCCTAGTGAATTGAAACCCTTCTTTCTGCAGGCCAACTGTGCAAGAAGAAAGGAAAATCATGATAAAGAACGGGAGGCACCCCGTGATCGACGTGTTGCTGGGAGAACAGGATCAGTATGTTCCCAATAGTACAGACTTGTCAGTAAGTACCACATTAGGGAGGCACCTGTGATTGACATGTGCTGGGAACACAGGGTCAGTACGTTCCCAATAGCACACACTTGTCAGTAAGTACCATGTTAGGCCAAAAATGAGTAAAAGTCCTCATAACATCCCAAACTTTTAAGTACCAAAAAAAAGGTTTTGTAGTTAAAAGTTACCCAAATTTTAACTTTAGCTTTAAACACACTAATCCTGGGCAAGTTTTATACCCACCAACAAATATAGAATTGGTGCTATTTTCAATGAAAGATTATCCATAGATGGAAGGATTTAGCAACTAAAGAGCTAGTTCTGACTTAACCTAGGTAACCCCATAAAGACATTTTATATTTGCAAATTCCCAGCTATATGAATGGGATTGGAACCATACCATGGTTTTGCAAATTCCCAGATATGCAGATGGGATTAGAGTCCTGCTGTGATTTTGCAAATTCCTCTTAGCTTGCCTGCATTCCACTGTTTTCAAGTGTTCTGTGAAGGCATCAGCGATTCCAGGGATGAGAATTCGCATCCTACAGCAGAAGTTTCCTGCAGAACACTAATGGTCCCAAATGGTATTCAACATATAGAGTGCCTAGGCCCCAGTAGTGACAGAAGTGAGTGTCGGGACCGAGAGTGGCAAGCAAAGCAGAACTTCTCTACCTCTCAGAGTGTGGGGAGCAGTAGAGAAGACAGCCGGGTTAATCCAGCATAGCTTGGTAAGTGTTGTGACACAGGGAAACCAGATGTCCTGAGCACAGGTGGCAGGTCAACTTGACCCAGCATGGGGGAACTGGGGAAGTCTTCAGGGGCAAGATGAAAATGAGTCAGTAGAGGCACCTGCTGGATGAGGCTGGAAGGGCAGCATGGGAGGGGAGAGGGACCTCAAGGAACTGAAAGATGTTGAGCAAGCTGGAGCACAGAGTGTAGGTAAGAGGTGCTAGAGGTTCAGCAAAAATTCCACAAGGAATTTGCTGTCTTCTTTCTAAAAGATTTAAGGGTACTAGCAAGAGAGTTAGTGAAGCTGGGGGAAAATAGTGAAAGTATGGCCAAGTGACTTACTTTGTCAAAGCTGAACAGAGCTGACAAGGTAAGGATGGGTTTTATTCAGTGCAGGGACTGGTCCCAAGTGGCTGAACTCCCTTTGGTTTGAGCAGAGATGGCTGGGCTTGTAGAAGAGAGTGAGGGATTGTGAAGGGTGACTAAGCTGGGGCTGTGGGGTTGGTTAATGTGAAACCCATCTGGATTTGCTAATTGGTGCTTATACTACATTTCAAGGAGCCACCCTGGGGTCCTTGGGAAGACGGTTCTAGGTGATAATAGATGTACATCTCAAAGGGGCAGAGAGAATGTTTGTAACTGAAAGATTTCTAAAGCAGCTGCTCTGAGAAGGGCTGGGGTCACCAGGGTTTGGCTAAACAGTGAATTCTGGTAGCACAGAGTTGTCTCAGGGCTGGGTCATCTAAGGATGCAGCCTGGAGCTGGTAGAAATGATGCCTGTGGTCAAGCTTCTAAATGGGAAGGGTGGACACAGTCGTTTGTCCTCAGGGTCTGAAGGTGTTCGAGACCTGGATTGAGGCCTTGTCCAGAAGAAGTATTGGAGAAGCCTGGCTAGCAGTTGGTCAAGGGGAGGGTCTTCATCAACATGGAGTAAAATAATAGGATGATGGGCAAAGAACAAGTGCGTGGGGAGTGGTACAGCACAAGAGCTCATAATGGAGAATGAAGTGCTGGCTTTAAGATTGTTAGGCAGTATTCCGATGACAACAGAATCCTAGGTGTGGCCACAGAAGGCAGGTAGCAGGAGAGGAGGAGGGACTTGGGAAAGTGTGGTCCCTGTGAATATGGATGTTGTCTCAGGTAACAGCAGGGTCTCTGGAAGACAACAGTGGCTGGGATGTTCGAGATGTGGGAAGTGGGTATCTGCCATGAAGTAAAGCCCTAAAGCAGCCAGGAAGAACTTCTGAGCCCTGAGGCATGTGGGGTGTGAGGGAGCAGAAACTTTGGCCCCAGATAAGAAGCCTGGGGAAAAACCTACAGTTAGGCTTCTCATTAAGCCAGTGTGGAGAAGATGCAGGCCCAATGTTAGAAACAGGGTGTGGGGACTTCTTGAGTTCAGTGAGCAGTGGAGGATCACTTACAGAGTGGGTCAGAAGGGAAGCCAGGTCAGCAGGGGTTGGGGTGGTCCACGTGGTGGGGAGCCAGGTGACGGGGTGCATGGTTTGGTGAATTTGGTGGCCACAGGAGAGGTGAAGGGAGTGTTTTAGCACTACATGTTGGTATCATAACAAGGTGTGTTAATTGTATGTAACCTGTGTTGTCATCTCTTCAGATTGCTATCACAGAGCATCACAGGCTGAGTAGCTCATAAACCACAGACCTCTTTCTCACTGTTCTGGAGACTGGGAAGTCCACGGTCAAAGTACAGCCACCTTGGTGTCTAGTGAGGACTTGTTTTCTGGTTTGTTGATGGCACCTTCTAGCTGTGTCCCCATGTGCGACTCACGACCTGAGCACCTCCCAGACCCCCCACCTTCTGACACCATTACCTTGGTGGTTAGGATTTCAACATAGGAATTTGGGGGAGACAAACATTCAGACCACAGCAACCCAAGACCCAGTGTCTGTGAATGTGTTCATTCTTATTAGTAAACTTGTATGTTACCTAATGTATCAAGCAGGTTGTAAGGACTGGTTCTTTTGTTTTCTTTAAAAAGAAGACTGTGAGCATAAGATTTCCTTTCTCAGTGATCATAATGCCAGTAGGTGTCATTTTTCTTGAGGAAGTAACTATAAACTAAGGTGCTGAACATTAGAATTGTAAGTCACTTAAAAGTTACTTCCTAGCCAGGCTTGGTGGCTCAGCCTCTAATCCCGCGCCTTTGGGAGGCTGAGGTGAGTGGATTGCCTGAGCCCACGGGTTCGAGACCCACCTGGGCAGCGAGACCTCATCTCTACAATAAAATCAAAAAATCAGCTGGGCGTGGTAGCGCACGCCTGTAATTCCGGCTACACGGAAGGCTGAGTCGGAAGGATCGCCAGAGCCCGGCAGGTCGAGGCTGTGGTGGCTGGGAGCGGCCACTGCAGTCTGGGCGACAGAGTGAGACTCCAACTCAAAAAAAAAAAAGTTACTTCCTGTCACTGTCCCCATGCCCCTCCCCTTGATCTCAAGTATTTTATCCTGGGCATTGTTTTTTTTTTGTTCCTTTTTTCCCCCCCTTTCTTTTAAAAAGTATATTATACTGTTTAATAAAGCAGGATTTGAGAAACTAAAATAGCCTTCTGTCTAATTACAAGGATGTTTTAAAGAAACAGTGAACTCTTATATTTAAATCTTTACAAAGTAAGTGAATTTTTTCTCCCAAGCAGGCACCTCAGAATATTCCAGAATATTCGTTTCTGTTACATATGCTTTTTCTGACTTGAGTAGGAGTTGATATAGAACTGTTGCTATGGTGAAGTGCATTCTATTTTTCAGGGTATAAATTTATATATAAGGACAGTATTGCGAAAAAACTTATATAAAATTCGATTTAAACTATTATATGGGTGTTAATTATAAAATATACCCAGAAAACACCGATGTTAAATGACATTGTTGCTTTTGTTAATCATGGTTTTAAGAGCTGGTCTTTTGTGCATGAAATTCATACTCTCTGGCTTCTGCATCATGTGAACTTACTTATTACACTGCTTCTGAGCAAGCCAAAAGTCTGCCCACTCCTCTCCTAGTTTTATGAGCACTTTTTAACCCCTCTTTTATGGTCTTATTCGCTGCATAATCCAGGTAATTGTGGACGTGGCCCCACTGGGTCTCCCTTATCCACTCAGCCACCTTCACACCCCCTCTCACCATGGCCACCTGCTGTGTCCCCACCCTTCAGAGTCCACTTTGTACTCAGCCAGGCTAGGCTTCTTGTCATTCCTGTCACAGGGCCTCTGGACTGGGCAGATGGCATTCTCTGTGCCTGGAATGTCCTCTCCCTACTGCCCACTCCTGCCTCACATGCCCCCACCACACCTACTCCACCTGTTCTAGCCTCGCCTGAATGGCAGCTCTGTACAGAGCCATTTCTAACCCTGGCTGGCGGCAGCCCCCCACTACACTCACCCCAGTCAGGCAGTGGCTCCAACTACCCTCACCTTCGTTGACAGCAGCCCCCTATGTACCCTTGCCCCAGCTGGGCAGACCCCCATGCACCCTCACCCCAGCTGGCGGCAGCCCCACCACCTCATCCTGACCAGCAGCAGTCCCTCTCCACCCTCCCCACTCATCTTAGCACATCCCACTCAGTTGTTGTTGCTCTTGTTTATATCCCATGGACTGGAGCCTGAGAGAATGGGGAAGACACCCTGATAGGTACAATCCCAGGAGCATCCCAGCCCTCAGCATGTGGCAGGCTCCAGTAAGATCCATGAATCAGCCAGCACGCACCAGGTGCCACTTTAAATATTTGCCTTTCTCCACAACTGTGACTTTTCAGGAGATTATGTGGAAATGCCCCAGTTTACAGAGCAATTATACTGCTGAGCCAGAAGGAAATAAGGGGCTTTGAGTGTCTACCTCTTCATTCTCGTGAGCAAATGAAGGCTTCCAGGCTGGGTATTCTTGAATATTTCCCTAAGCAGAGACAAATGCCAGGGCCAGAGGTGTAGTCCGGCCATTTTCCTTCTGCAGTGCATAGAAAATAGAGTGTTGATGGCACTGGCATTGCAAGAACAGGGAGGCTGCTCAGAGGCCAAGGAGGCAAGTCCGGGATTGTGGCAGTCCTGGCCCCTTGTCACCTCGAGCTAGGACCAGCACCCTGGCCCCCTGTCACCTCAAGGGTAGGGCCAACACCTGGCCCCCTGTCACCTCAAAAACCAGTACCCCGGCCTGCCTGTCACCTTGAAGCTAGGACCAGTACCCCTGCCTCCTGCCACCTCAAGGCTAGGACCAACATCCTGGCCCCCTGTCACCTCAAGGCTAGGACCAGCACCTCGGCCCCCTATCACTTCAAG